TCCACCGAAGGCCCCAGCAGGAGCGTCCGCACGGCACGGGCCGCGCACGGGGCTCGGTCGAGACCGGGAAGACTCCCCGCTCGCCGGCGTCAGCTTTTCTCCCCCTCATGCACACCGCAGTCCTTTTTGCTACCCTCCGTCCTTCGTCTCCTTTCCTTCGCGGTACTCGCAGCAGCATGTGGTTGGGTCGTTCGCCAGGCTAATTAAGGCTCCCGGGGAGGGGTTTCATTGGCCAGGAAAATCGACGAATCGACACCGGACGTGTAATCATTTCCCATGGTTCCTTCGTGGGACATGTTTTTAGATTTTGGGGCCGATTTGGAAAGACCGGAAACCATGCCGTCGCATGGCTCTGGAAATAATGACGCCAGCGACTTAGCGGGAGCACGATTCGGAACAAGCAGAAGCGCGGAAATGAGGCCAGCGTTGCAGCGGGAACGCGATTCGGTGGACGCGTAGCTTGACATAGCATCCTCCTCCTGAGGCCACGTCTCTTGGCCTGGTGCGCACGGGCCCACACGTTGTCCAGGCCACCCAGGCGAGGTCGGATTAGATAGGGTCCAGGATCGTGCCGCATCGCCGATGCATCGGCGATGCTGCTCGATGTGGAGTCTGATTTTCTCCAGGACGACGGCGCCAATTCGTCGCCGACGTCGAGAATGCATCTCCGATGCATTTGCGATGCAATCTTTCGACCACATCTACCCGAACCTCATTCGGGAGGCCTCCACGCAGACCGCGAGGCCACGTTTCCCCACGACGACGGCGCCAAGTCGTCGCCGACGTCGACAACGTATCGCCGATGCATCGGCGATGCGATCCTTCGGCCCCATCTCCTCGGACCCTGGTCGGGAGGCCTCCACGCAGCGCGCGAGGCCACGCGAAAAGCGGACCGCGGGGAGCGGGTTGGGAACTTGGCGCGAACCTGTGGAACGAGGAGAGTCATCCGTTCGCCACGAACCGAGGACAACGATCTATATATATATATATATATATATGCTTTCGTCGGTTCTCTGTTGTTCTGGAGCCTCAGCACGCCGTCCAGCAGCCGCGCCGTTGCCGAGGGGCGTCTCGGGCTGCCCGGATCCTGTCGAGCTGCTGCCCGAGACCCGAGCTGTGGCCCGAAAATCGGGCGACAATGACCACGAACAACGACCACGAACATGACCACGAACAATGACCACGAAAATAGGGGATATAGGGGAACGGACAATGACATAAATATAACAACTCGCAGCTCCGCGCGGATTTCTCGGATCCGCGCTGACCCCCCTGGCGGCGCTTCCGGCGCCGCCCCTGGCGCGCTCCGCGCGCCAGGGAGAGGGGTCCAGCGCCGATCCGAGGAATCCGCACAAGCCTCCGAGTTGATATGTTTATGTCATTTTTCGTTCCCCTAATTTGGGAGGGGATATGCTCAGGGGGGGTGCATCGATTGGTGGCCACGTGCGAACCCTTCCCCACCACCCCCACTATTTCTGACGGGGAGGGTGGGGTTCGCTTCGCTCGGGAGGCCCCGAACGAAGTTCACCCCACCTCCCCACTCGCAAATCGTGGGGCGCTGGGGTAGGTTTCGCATGTGGCCTCCTAATCGACCCCCATTCGCCCACTGATCGCCTATAAGGGGCCCGACAGCCCCACCCCGCAGGGAGCTGGCAGATTCGCCTTCGGGGCCCACCGCCAATCTGTCGGCAATGTATCGCCGATTCCAGGTCGATGTCCCCCACCCCCCTGAGCCAGTTTCCCCCGCACGCTGGTCTGCTCGTTGGACGTACGTATCTCTGGACTCCCCAAGTCCAGTCTACTGATAGCGCCGCCCTGCTTCAAGAATCGATGTGCTGTTGCTGCGTGTGATGCTGATCTCTGGGAGGGCCCGGGCCCAATCTGCTTTATCCGAACTCCCGCTTCGTGTGTTTTTGTTCCTGCTTCCTCTGGCTGCCGGTCATCGTTGCCCCTCGTGTGACATGGTATCTTCAGGGCGTTCTGCGGACGGCACTCTGGGGACTCGAAGCAGCAAGCGCGCAATCCTTGCGAGTCGCACAGAGCCCCGAGGCGTGACACGCTGGTGCGCGGTGCGAGTCGGCGCGCGCTCGTGCGTGCAGGTTTGGCTCGGCGGCGCGCCTTTGGGTGGGGAAGAGAGAGAGAGAGGAGGAGGCGGAGGAGGAGGAGGAGGAGGACAAGGAGGAGGAGGAGGAGGAGGACGAGGAGGCGGAGGAGAGGGAGGAGGAGGATGAGGAGGAGGAGGAGGAGGAGGAGGAGGAGGAGGCGGTGGGGCTCAGAGGCCTTGTGGCGTTCCGAGCCTTCCGAGAAGGACCGCCCCCCTTTTGACTTCCTCTCGGGCTCGCCTCCGACTGACTTCGCACCGTGATCGCTCGTCGTCCTGCGGAGGGCTCAGGGGTGGGGCACAGGAGACATCGAGCGCGAACAACGTTCTGATATAGAGTTTTGACTGCTTCAGCTCTTATGTGTTCGATCCCGGGCCCCGTTGTGAACAGCATTGTCCATGTTTCACGCCGAACAGCCGCAATACAACCGCCGAAGACCGCCCGGAGACCGCCGAATACTGCAAGCAGATCGCCGAAGACCGCCCATGGCTGGTGGGTAACAATGGGCCCATCGTCGAATATGTACTGCGTAGGGCCGAGGGTCGGAGAGCGCGTTCCTCTGTGGGACCACCAGAGAAGGACGTCAAGGTCGTCAAGCGCCTCGCCGATCGAGCCGACGCAGAGCTGCAACATCCAACCGTTCGCGTGTGTTCAAAGTTTTGGCTTGACGCCGGGTGTGGTGCATCGGCTTCAGCGTGACCGAGCTTGGCCGAGCAGGTTGGTTGCGCCCCTTGACGTCCGTGTGGGGCCTTCTGCAGACCTGACCCCTCAGCCCGACTCAAAGCATGCTGCAGCTCCCTGGGCCCCATGGGGGCCCGTGATCACGGAGGTCCGTGCAGGGAGCCGCCTTCTCGCTTGCCCTTCTCGATCGATAGCTGCCCGAGCTCTGGGCATGCGGAAACGCCCGCCCCTCGCAGTGCCAGGCAGAAGGTTCGGGGGATGTCAGGCTCGTGGGAACCATGTATACCCTCTTGCTTTCGTTCTCAGGGCCCACTAGCGCCGACGAGCGTCTGGAAATCGATGAGGTAGCGCCGAGTTACCGTCGATTGGCGTCGACTTAGCGTCGATTGTGGCGTCAAGAGCGTCGACTAGCTTCGATCTGCGCGAATCCGCAAGAGCCAGCAAGATGGTATGGGAGGCTCCCATGAGTCCCCACAAAAGGATGACGATGAATCTTTCCTGGCCGTTCCTGAGCGCTCTGGATCGGCCGCAGCGCCCGATACATCCGCCAGACCCGCCGGCCCTCAGGTTTCCCCGACCTGCTACCCAAATCG